TGCATCATGTAGCTCAGTGAGTGTCTTGATGGAACCAGTGGGGCACTAGGGTGCATCATGTAGCTCAGTGGAGTGTCTTGATGGAACCAGTGGGGCACTAGGGTGCATCATGTAGCTCAGTGAGTGTCTTGATGGAACCAACAGGGCACTTGTTTAGGGGTAGCGAGAACTAAGATCTGATTTTATTGATATTGTTCAGTTACCCAGCCTTGCAGGAACAGTAGGAATTTGCAAATTGTTCAGGTCGTATTTCAACCTGAAGACGATGTTGAAATACATTAATATGACAGATCCAATCATCATCATTATTATTTACACACGTATATGGAGCAGAATGGCTAAGGATTATGTGCTTTGAGTAAAGGGAGATAACTTTGTAAAGTTAAAACTGACTATGTGATCTAAGGGAGATAATCCAGTTTGTCCTTCCATTGAACTTGTGTTCTGTATGAGGACGATTTCTGATCCTGCATTTTGGGCAACTGTAATAAATCTGTAACAGATCTGATCATCATTATTTAATATTTCACACACTCCCATTTCCATTTTGTACCAATAGTTTGGATTAGTAAACCGAGATGTCTGCATTTGTGCCTCAGACTCGCTGACTTGGTTGATGCATGTCATTGTGTCCCAATTGTGTGGATCAATGCTCATGATGTCAATCACTGGATTGTGTGGTGCAGACTCGATTATTTACAGACTGTCGTCATACTGCTGGAGTGTTGGGTTAAACAACAAACAAACAAACATTTGTGTCTGCATGCATTGACGTTTGTGAATAAAAACTAAAAACAATTTTGTGTTCTTTCTTGTGCTTCTATTTATCTCACCAGAGTTCAGAGGTTCAAGTGATCATTTGTCTTGGCTGTTCTCCATCTTGTGTTCGACCTGATGACTTCTGTTGAGGACATGTACTGTGAAACACCACACAGAGGACACCAGCAGAAGTCACAGCACTCGGGTTTACATACAACATGAAAACATTGTACTGTCTGACACTGCCTGCTGTGTGACACTGCCTGCTGTGTGACACTGCCTGCTTTGTGACACTGCCTGTTGATGACACTGCCTGCTGTGTGACACTGCCTGCTGTGTGACACTGCCTGCTGTATGACACTGCCTGCTGTATGACACTGGCTGCTGTATGACACTGCCTGCTGTGTGACACTGCCTGCTGTATGACACTGGCTGCTGTATGACACTGCCTGCTGTATGACACTGGCTGCTGTATGACACTGCCTGCTGTGTGACACTGCCTGCTGTGTGACACTGGCTGCTGTATGACACTGCCTGCTGTATGACACTGCCTGCTGTGTGACACTGGCTGCTGTATGACACTGCCTGCTGTATGACACTGCCTGCTGTGTGACACTGGCTGCTGTATGACACTGCCTGCTGTGTGACACTGCCTGCTATATGACACTGCCTGCTGTATGACACTGGCTGCTCTATGACACTGCCTGCTGTATGACACTGCCTGCTGTGTGACACTGGCTGCTGTATGACACTGCCTGCTGTGTGACACTGCCTGCTATATGACACTGCCTGCTGTATGATACTGGCTGCTGTATGACACTGCCTGCTGTATGACACTGCCTGCTGTGTGACACTGCCTGCTGTGTGACACTGCCTGCTGTATGACACTGCCTGTATGACACTGCCTGTTGTATGACACTGGCTTCTGTGTGACATTTCCTGTTGTATGACACTGGCTGTTGTATGACATTTCCTGTTGTATGACACTGCCTGCTGTATGACACTGGCTTCTGTGTGACACTGGCTGTTGTATGACACTGGCTTCTGTGTGACACTGCCTGCTGTGTGACGCTGCCTGTTGTGTGACATTTCCTGCTGTGTGGCACTGCCTGCTCTCTGAGACTGCCTGCTGCCTGACACTGGCTGCTGTCTGACATTTCCTGTTGTATGACACTGGCTGCTGTATGACACTGCCTGCTGCCTGACACTGCCTGTTGTCTGACATTTCCTGTTGTATGACACTGCCTGCTGCCTGACACTGGCTGTTGTCTGACATTTCCTGTTGTATGACACTGCCTGCTGCCTGACACTGGCTGCTGTCTGTCATTTCCTGTTGTATGACACTGGCTGCTGTATGACACTGCCTGCTGCCTGACACTGCCTGTTGTCTGACATTTCCTGTTGTATGACACTGGCTGTTGTATGACACTGCCTGCTGCCTGACACTGGCTGTTGTCTGACATTTCCTGTTGTATGACACTGCCTGCTGTGTGACACTGGCTGTTGTCTGACATTTCCTGTTGTATGACACTGGCTGCTGTATGACACTGCCTGCTGCCTGACACTGCCTGTTGTCTGACATTTCCTGTTGTATGACACTGGCTGTTGTATGACACTGCCTGCTGCCTGACACTGGCTGTTGTCTGACATTTCCTGTTGTATGACACTGCCTGCTGTGTGACACTGGCTGTTGTCTGACATTTCCTGTTGTATGACACTGGCTGCTGTGTGACACTGCCTGCTGCCTGACACTGGCTGTTGTCTGACATTCCCTGTTGTATGACACTGGCTGTTGTATGACGCTGCCTGCTGCCTGACACTGGCTGCTGTATGACACTGTGTCGTGTTATTGTGAGGCTGGAAGTGGCGTGTCATTGCGAGGCTTGAAGGGTCGTGTTACTGAATGGCTGGAGGGTCGTGTTATTGAATGGCTGGAAGGGTCGTGTTATTTTGAGGCTTGAAGGGTCGTGTTATTGTGAGGCTGGAAGGGTCGTGTTATTGTGAGGCTAGAAGGGTCGTGTTATTGAATGGCTGGAAGGGCCTTGTTATTAAATGGCTGGAAGGGCCGTGTTATTGAATGGCTGGAAGGGTCGTGTTATTTTGAGGCTGGAAGGGTCGTGTTATTGTGAGGCTGGAAGGGTCGTGTTATCGTGAGGCTAGAAGGGTCGTGTTATTGAATGGCTGGAAGGGTCGTGTTATTGTGAGGTTGGAAGGGTCGTGTTATTGTGAGGCTGGAATGGTGGTGTTATTGTGAGGCTGGAAGGGTCGTATTTTTTAATGGCTGAAAGGATCGTGTAATTGAATGCTGGAAGGGTCGTTTTATTGAATGGCTGGAAGGGTCGTGTTATTGTGAGGCTGGAAGGGTCGTATTTTTGAATGGCTGGAGGGGTCGTATTTTTGAATGGCTGAAAGGATCGTGTTATTGAATGGCTGGAAGGGTCGTGTTATTGTGAGGCTGGAAGGGTCGTGTTTTTGAATGGCTTGAAGGGTGGTGTCATTGAACGGCTGGAAGGGTCGTGTTATTGAGAGGCTAGAAGGGTCGTGTTATTGTGAGGCTGGAAGGGTCGTGTTATTGTGAGGCTAGAAGGGTCGTGTTATTAAATGGCTGCAAGGGTCGTGTTATTGAATGGCTGGAAGGGTCGTGTTATTGTGAGGCTGGAAGGGTCGTGTTATTGTGAGGCTGGAAGGGTCGTGTTATTGTGAGGCTAGAAGGGTCGTGTTATTAAATGGCTGGAAGGGTCGTGTTATTGATTGGCTGGAAGGGTCGTGTTACTGAATGGCTGGAAGGGTCGTGTTATTGTGAGGCTGGAAGGGTCGTGTTATTGAATGGATGGAAGGGCCGTTTTATTGTGAGGCTGGAAGGGTCGTCTTACTGAATGGCTGGAAGGGTCGTGTGCAATTAACAATTAAAGAAAATATTTCTCAATGTTTCTTGTTGATGTAACTACAACAAATGTGTTGCATGTATAACAGTATGGAAACTTTGATCTGATAATGTGCCTTTTATATTTGTCCGTACATAACTCAGCGATCTGAAATCGTTCAAACAAACTCAATTCACACTTCTGAGAAATAAGCAACAGATGTAAGGAATGAAAAATCACGTAAATATACAAGGGGAAATGTACGTTTATTTCCAATAGTTTCACTACTGCAACATCACATAATGTGCGCAAAGGTTTTACATATTACTTGAACTGCTGTGTACAGAGTATTCTTTTTCAAATTGACCTGGTTTAAAAGTTTCTTTTGACTTGTCTCTTTCATAGTATATCGGTAATATATCCGGGGGATTGAGCACTTTCCTTGTTTTAACACTGTGTGCACGAGTCATACGTGTTAAGTGGATAAGGTGTTTTAACATTAATTCCGAGGGGGCGATTAGGTGCCCGACCATGCACGAGGACTTAGGTTCGAATCTGTACTGCTACGTCATAGGTTTGCAATATGTGGATGCGGCGTCATTGTTGGAGTCTTTATAGCTCTGTAAGCATCAATGTTCACTACTAGTGTTTGATGTGATATTTACTTGTTTAATAATAATTACAATGGTATTTGAAAGTACTAACGTTTTTTAGGTAACATAGTAAAGATCGTTAAACCTATGTCAAGCTATGCAGCAGTCATGTGCTTACAATTTACATATTCCTCACTACAATATGACCAAATTAATTGCATTCTCAAATTGCACTTATACAGCTTTCTTTAAGTTCTGGTCTTCCTTCCGCAAACTTTTCAATCCCAGCAAAGATTATTAGAATAATATCATATTTTATGGTTGTCTATATCTGCAATATGTTTTGAATGTTTGATGTAAAGGGAGTGGATTTTGAATAATGTATAATTGTTGAGATGTTACACATTGTATTTTATTTGAAATGTGAATAAAGATTTAAATAAAAAAAATTTTTTACTTGTCCCTAGTTACGCCCCAGAAAGGCCTAATGCAGTATTTACGGGTTCGTCGATAGCATTTAAAAAAAAAATTATATAAGAAATAGACTACTTGTGGATATGAACTATATTCAGCCTTCCTACTGCCATAACCATGATCAAAACAGGACCATAAACATATTTTCCATTTTTCCCCAATTGCTGATTTGCAATCGCTATTTAGTTATTATCCGAAACGTATCGCAATTGTCGGGCTACGTGCTGGGCCTCGCTCTGTGGAGGAGACCGTTGCCTGTCATCGCGGCAAGTTGAGTCATTGTGACGTCACAATGCAAACTTCCCATCCCACGAAACACCTCCATCCGTCTCCGACCTGTACATTCTGTCGTAGTTTACATGCTCGCATTTTGAAATACACTTCACCATGTTATCAACGTAATAGTATATTCAGGATATGGGGGCATCCGCGAGGACAGACAAATGTCAGCTTGCCCCACATTTCTTAAATTCAATCGACTTTTTAACTGTTATCTGTACCCTACGCAAGTACTTCCTCATAGCAGATAGAGACTGCAGACTGGAGTGATCGGATTGAGAGACAGATTCACGCTTCTCTCTTCGGCTCCTGAAGTATTGGTTTACTTCTGTGGCACGTGCATTGCCAAAGAAACGCATGACGAGTTTGCAGTCTGTTCCAGTGTAGACCAGAAGCAAGGGCTGAACGCGCATACGCTCCACTGTCAAGTGCTGTTTCCTGGTTGTGACGTCACGCGCACGGCGAGCAGACGGCAAGCGAGTCGCACAGCATCTTTCAGCGTTTGGATTTTCTGGAGAGGAAAAAGGGATTATTTCTTTCCTACCCGTGTTGGATTACCACCCCAGGTTGTGTGTAGGCCTTAACCCACGGGATGGAGGGCGGGGGAGATGCGCCACCCTCGGGAGCGGATTATGTCAAGTGCGTCGTTGTGGGGGACGGTGCTGTGGGCAAGACGTGTTTACTCGTTAGTTACACCACGAACAAATTCCCCACCGATCATGTTCCGACTGTGTTCGAAAATTATGCAGGTAAGCGTTTTTATTTAACTGCGTTATTTGCCATATTCACCTGAATCTGCTAATTTATTCCTTTGTTTCCCAGCCATCTGTCTATATCGATTGACCCAAACTTTGACCCCTCTATTCCATAATGGGTACGATCTATAATGCATGTGGAAGAGTCCACGTTGTAATTGAGGGGGAGTTGAATCAATACTGGTTTATTCCTGAACGAAAGTAGCGAAAAAATCCAATAGAATACAATAAAGCATCTATGTTAATGAGAGAAGGTTGAACGCCAAGCGTGACCGGACTTCTACGTCTATTGTCTAGCGGGGACAGCAATATTCAATATGCGCGTATTGTCTAAGCCGTGTGATACATTTCGCGAGAAATTCTTGGCATTGTCAGCGCGCGTGAGACAATCCAATATCCTCGTGTCATTAAACTGCGTAACGGTAACGCTAAGCCTGTGCACTGAAGACTTGCGTGCTTGCTTTAAAGCGCACGCAGAATGCCGAGAAAAGAATTACTTTTTTAATCACATCGCCTCTCTTTAGTCCTTTTAGTTTCCAGGTGCTCTTTAGGCTGGGCCGTTTCTCGGGCTTCTCGGCTATTTCGAGGTTCAACAACGTTAACTGAGTTTTTCTCTACACTTAGGAGGAAATCCTCGCCAAGCCGACTGAGACTCCCTGTTAAACGCTTCATTAGTGAGGCCTCGACCTTGAGTCTCCCAGTGTTTACCAACTTCGAGTTCAACCTTTGAGTTGAGGTAGCATTCTGAATGCGGTCTGTAATCGGGGGAAGGAGTGATTAACAGGCAGGACAGATTAACAAACATGAACGAGACTGCCGCGACCAGCATGCTCCACGACAGTCGACCCAACTGTTTGAAAACTTTCAGTTTCGCGAGGCATGGAGGTCACATAGGGATGACATTTCCCACTTGCATAAGTTTTGCCAACTAACATTTCTTTTGGACGTTTTCCTCCTCGGTGACTTCATTGGAGGAATGTTGGCTCAGATATAACATATTTCATTAACTCCATAACATGACCGTCCTCGATAATACAGGGCATTATATATCCATTCTGTAACGATAAATACTCTGAACCCATTCGCGTCACCTTATTCGTCTCTATTATGTATAACTTCGCCAAAACTTCCTCTCGCCCATGGGTGTAATTTGATTGGACGACGCAGAACGAAGCCATGGGTGCAGGGTACACATGTCGTACTAGAATGGAGATCTGATACTTGGGGAAGTCGAGAATGGGTCATTACATCAATTTCAACTATTATTGCAACTCCTCTTTGATCTTTTGATAGTCTTTTTATGGCATTTTATGGCGGTTAAACTTAACACCCCACCCGTCTAAGGTAGTGAAAACTTAATACCCCACCCATCTAATGTTTTGAAAATTTAACACCCCACCCGTCTAATGTAGTGAAAACATAATACCCCCACCCATCTAATGTTGTGAAAACTTAATACCCCACCCATCTAATGTTTTGAAAACTTAACACCCCACCCGTCTAATGTAGCGTAAACGTAACACCCCACCCATCTAATGTAGTGAAAACTTAACACCCTACCCATCTTATGTAGTGAAAACGTACTTAATACCCCACCTGTCTAACGTAGTGAAAACTATCTCATGTAGTGAAAACATACTACCCCACCCGTCTAATGTAGTGAAAATTAAACACCCCACCCGTCTAATGTAGTGAAAACTTAACAACCCACCCATCTAATGTAGTGAAAACGTACTTAATACCCCACCTGTCTAATGAAGTGAAAACGTAATACCCCCATCCGTCTAATGTAGTGAAAACTTTCTTTATTTACTTGTTGTTTAACGCCGCACTCACCAATATTCCAGTTATGTGACGGCAGTTTGTAAATAATCGAGTCTGGACCAGACAATCCAGTGATTGGTATCATGAGCAATTAGGATACGATGTCGTGCATTAAACAATTTCACAAAGCCGTTAGTCTCCTCTGTCGACAAGCAAAGTCGCCTTTTAGGGCAAGCATGGGTTCCTGAAGACCTATTCTAACCCGGATCTTCTTGGGTACCGCCTAATGTAGTGAGTTCCTATATTACCCTACATGTTGATTAGTGGGCTTCTGCAGAGGGACGGGGGAAATCCCACTTCCTGGAGGTTCACGGGAACATGGAGCTTTGCACTGCGTCATACAACCAACGGGTTATTATGCCGAGTCGTGAATCAGGCGCTGGTCCGAGTCGTGAATCAGGCGCTGGTCCGAGTCGTGAATCAGGCGCTGGTCCGAGGCGTGAATCAGGCGCTGGTCCGAGTCGTGAATCAGGCGCTGGTCCGAGGCGTGAATCAGGCGCTGGTCCGAGGCGTGAATCACTGCAGGTTGGTATGGGGAGTAACCGCTGTCTTCAAGACACAGGCCTCGACTCGCACTGCTTGTGTAGAACATATTGCCACGTTGGACATTCTGATCGAATATGATCACATGTATGTAGAAGCGGCGAAAGCATGGTAACCCGAACTTGTCCGTTGTTAGATACGAGTAGATTCGAGGTACTGCCACATGGATACAAACTGGCGCATGCGCGCAAGTCCGAGTCAGTAATTTTAATTAAATGTTCAAGAAGTTCAGAAGGCATGTCTTGGTACGGGGATACCTTTGTTACCTATGGGGTTGGAAATATCCGAGGTGAAAAAAATCGTTGATTACTCGCCCGTGAAATCACCCGTTTAATAAACATACAGTTGTGTTACACAGTGTAATACCAAAGCGCCTGCTCGTGTACCGGAACAAGTTTCACTTAAAATAATGAAAACTCCCAACATCCCTGGGCTTTTTCAATGACATTGTGTGTAGAGATGATAGATCACTGAGAGGAGCTCGATGACCCCAGCAACCCTGTTGCTAGGCTGACTTCACATGGCATTGTCTTGCTGGTGGATCTTCCAACAAATTCCTCAAATTACGTCACAGGGCATTGTGATGTGATTGTAAACTTTGTGGCACAGGGCCCCGTCACGAGGCTATCGTAGCACAACGACAGTCATAACTCGATATTTAAGTATGGGTTTGTTTGTTGTTTAACGCCGCATTCAGCAATATTCCAGCTATATGGCGGCGGCCTGTAAGTGATCGAGCCTGAACCAGACAATACAGTGATTGACAACATGAGCATCGATCCACGCAATTGGGATCGATGACATGCATCAACACAGTCAGCGAGCCTGACCACCACTGCAAGCGTGGGTTGCTGAAGACCTATTCTACCCCAGATCTTCATAGGCCGTTTAAGTTTGGTAGTTAGGATAGCTTCGTATGGGAGTCAGGATAGCTTTGTGGAACAGACCTCTGATTTCTAAATTTGGCATTAAATTAATAAGTATATACTTTTCACTTGTTTAAAGTTTTATTCTGTTGAACTCATTTAAATTAAGCATAGATGTCAGCAAGATAGGGTAGATGTCAGCCTATTCACACGGCAGTGAAATTAAAAAAAAATAATTAACAAGTAATACATGATATACGAAACTCGCTCCCGTGTTATACTGATTCTATTCACTCGTTTCACAGAATTGGTATAACACGGGATCTCATTTATTCATTTATTCTATGTATGTGCACTAGTGCAAATATCACTTCACGCGCACCCCTATTGTTTACGTCATCCGGGCGGCATTGTTGACCTCATTCGAATGTTATTGTAACGTAATGAGGTTGGAATGACGTCACACTATAATAATAATAATAATGATAATGATAGTAATAATAATTATTATTATAATTAAAATGCGACAAACCCTTTCCATATCTAGAAATATCTAGAGTCCATTCCGACCATGTCATTAGTATGTTTTTATGAATCACTATCAAATAGTAATGATACCAGGTGTTCGCGAAACTGATCGTCATCATTGAATTTAAAGGAGAGCTCAAAAGGATAAGAAATAATGGGTACTATAGAACTTTTTTACACCAGTAATTCGTAAGGTTTCTTTTGCTCGTCATCGAACAGCGTAGGTTATTGCAAAAACCAAACTTTGGCGGCCGAGCGGGTGCCAAGTGCTTCTGTGGAGGCTCTGACGTAGTTTCTAATGTGACGTCATTCCGACCTTTTTCATGTTACAATCAGTAGCCTGTGTAGAGAACACGCCCCGGTTTAGAGCGTTTCTACAAGAGTACATGCAACAGCACGTGATTCGTGTGTTAGATTCTGGTTTTAAACTATGGTGTGGTTAAATGTTGTTCTGCTTATCAAGTCTTGTATCCAGGTGGGTTGACTGTTGCGTTGTTGTTGCAGTGACGGTGACGGTGGACGGACAGCCAACGGTGCTTGGCCTCTACGACACCGCGGGGCAGGTGAGTGAGAAACGCGATGCATGCTGGGACGAATGTGACACCTCATCAAACTTGGCACCCTTGACACAATACCATACCATACGCACGTACGTATGTACGTACGCTAGGCTACGCCAACCTCCCCATACTTGACGACCGGTGTCTGGGGCGCGATGGGCATCAGCGATCTGTTGCGAAGGTGCAGCCTTCTTTCGTCTTCCGTCAGTTCGACTCAGTAATTGTTGTAAGGCGGGGTGACTCTACTCCACTCCGTTAATCACACCCCTCACTTGATAATGGACAGGTCCAAGCTCCATAATACTAGAGACAAAAACCTTCATTCAAATGAAAACGTGAAACAAAGCCGAATAATTTTTAAAATCATTATAAGGTTAAAGCTTAGTAGTAAATAAAAGAAGCAACCTTCTGACTAGTCTCTCATCATGTTTAAAAACACTCAAACCACAGATTATGTCGAACACTGGTTTACTAATAACAAAAACATATAATTATTTACACTTTTAAGAGTTCTTAGCCAAGGGTTAACTAACTTCTTTCCTTTGAGTTAACAGATTTCCTAAACACACTGCTGATTCAATTACAATGTACTTATCAGGAGATGTGGTTTTAGTAACTTACAATAACTGAAGGTATATACGTGTTTTATTCACAGTATGCATTTAGTTAAACTTGAATTCTTTGATAGGCATTGGTGAGAAGTTAGCGGATGACAAATCAGACAAAGGTCTAAGGATGAAAACCTCTTCGCTATACTGTAATCGGGACGTGTCGGTGTAGACCCTTATACCGTTGTCAACGTGATTGTACTGTTGAGCACTACACGTCTTAGTGCTACGATCACTTTGTGGAACAGGGGCCAGAACACTAAGTCTTAGGGTTCCCAAATATATTGATATAATAGTGCTTGTTCATCTGCAGCTGGGGGCACGGGTGGCCCTGTCGTCTAAGGCGCCGCGATTCGCTGTGTAGAGTTCCAATCCTGGTTCGCATCGATAATGTTTCTAGGTTTGTCAGCACCATACCCGTGCTCGTGGGTTTCACCGAAGTGGTAAACGTCTGAGACCTGCATCACTTCGGGCTTTCCTCCCACATTAAGCTGACACGCCGCGATATAACTGAACTACTTTTGAAAGCGGCGTTAAAGGGGCACTGATCTAAAGCAATTTCCCGGGACTGGTGGTTGCCTTTGTTGTTGTATTATCCCGTGAGTACCCGGATGATATAGCAGAAATCTAAACTATTGCGCGACCTGTGCTGCGCCATTCGTAAGCGCATTTGTCACTTTTATTGATAGTATAAGGGCGTATGGTCACATTAATCAACAAAATGAAATACAGTTTTTTGAAATAATAAGGAAATGTAGGTATCTTTGTGGGTAGCATCGGTAATGGTGACGAAGTTTTGATAAGACACTTGGTAATTGTGCGATTTTCTTTTACACTATTTTGACTTGCAACACAAAGTAAATATTTCACCTGAGCATGTCCATCTGTATTATTATGATCACGAATTCCAAACATTTTTTTAATGTTTAATATCACCAGTTGACTGATTTCTATATTGTTTGGCTTCTAATCCTAGTATAATTAATCCATTTTGATGTTTTTAAGCCCTTTTGGCCGTCTTAATCGTTTTTAGTCAATATGTTAAATAACTGAAATATTTAGACATTTTATAAATTTCCCGAGTGAATCACATTTTACACATTGACTGTAACATATACACGGTTAAAAAGGAAAAGACTTGTGAAAACAACGTCTGTCACGCATCGAAGAACTTTCCAACCAAGACGTAGATGAACAAGAATGATTTTGTTCAATTCTACACCAGATGCATGAAAACAAAATGCAATATCATAATTACAACCTACCCAAGTTATACCCCCGTTTACTTTTGCGTTCCGTTCGTCCGTCCTTCCGAGCTTTTGTACGGCCCATAACTTTTTAACTATGCACCCTAGCTTCACCAAACTGTCTACACACATTAACCACAATGAGTACTTGTGCCTGTTGCTAGTTTGAAGATTCTGAATTTTTAATTTTTGCCGTTTCCATGGAAACATTAGAAACTTAAACTTTTAGGGTGGGTGTTTTGTACGCCTTTATCTTTTTAACTATGCACCCTAGCTTCACCAAACTTTCTACACACATTAACCACAATGAGTACTTGTGCCTGTTGCTAGTTTGAAGATTCTGATTTTTTTAATTTTTGCCGTTTCCATGGAAACATTAGAAATTTAAACTTTTAGGGTGGGTATTTTGTACGGCCCATAACTTTTTAACCATGCACCCTAGCTTCACCAAACTTGCTACACACATGTACCACAATGAGTACTTGTGCCTTTTGCCAGAATGAAGATTCTGAATTTTTTTATTTTTGCCGTTTCCATGGAATCATGGTGAAACATAAATTTTGGGTAGAGTTTTTGTACGATCCATGTTTACAATACGATGTATCCTAGCTTCAGCAAACTTGCTACATTAACCGCTATGATTGTTTTTTATCTTTTATAAGATTCTGAAAGTTTTGTCTTTTGCTGTTTTCATGGAAACATGATGGAATTTAGAAATTTTGATGACTGGTTTTGTATAGCTAATATATTTTCAAAAATTGTTTCCACACATGTAGATCATCATAAGTATCTGTGCTTTGTGATAGTTTGAATTTATGAATTCTTTACCATATCCCTTAAGGCTAGATGGAAATTATTAATTTATTGATTTTCTTTTATGACATTGTTCAATTTTTTTATGTGTTTTTATATCAACAAGTTTTGGTCCTTTTGATAATTCTTCTTATGTAACTCCTCAATCATTTTTTTATTCAAAGGTGTTCATGGTGATCTACTTCCTCGTAGTGAACACTGGTAACATGGGAGATTGTCACTGGAACTCAATCTTAGTTTTTAAAACATTGAAGTTAAAAAATCAGTTAGAAATATGTAACATTTCATTAATTAACAAACTATTTACTATATGTTGTTGACCAGCGGGGATAACGGGGGTATGTGAGCTTTGCTCACTTCTTTCTTGTTTGTACAATTTAGGCAGCTTCCTTGTTCGAGGAATGCATCCGTGAATATCCACATAAAGGAATATATCTCACACGTCTGCAGCTGTACAAGGAAACGGATTCGATGTCACGTGTCTCTGTAACAGTCAAATATTTTAAAATATTTATATCGTTTCGGGATATTATAACCAGTGTTCGTTTCTCAACTGATCATTTAGTTTGTTTCATCTGTTTCACATAGGTGTTAAGTCTCAAAGGTCAGCTGAGAAAGCCCACGTGCCAACTATTTTCACAATGTCGACGGTTCTTAAACCGTTCTTAGATAACAACGAGCATTCAGTCAACGTATTATCGGTTAACCCTTTGAACAAAGTATGTTGTTTTTACATCGACACTTCACGCCATGATATGAGTGTATTCCCTTTGCTTTAGTAAACCTACACATGTAAACACTTACTTTTGACATATCCACTGTGCAAGATAACAGTGATTAATAACTTATTTTCTGTTGATCCTTTGATGGCTAGGAATGATCCCTTGATTTACAAAAAGGTAAATCAGCTGATCATTCATCTCTTGCTGGGCTGCCATAACACACATTTCACCTCACTTCAAACCTGGATTTAGATTGAATAATTACCCCACAAGAAATGCCAAATGGGAACCTATATCAGGTAATCTGAGTGGTGCTACCGCTAATTATACCTGTAATAAATTCATTAACTGAGCATCAAGTGAATGACGACAAATACACACGTGTACTGTTATACCAGAAAACATGGATGACAAGAAGGGAGTAGTAATCGTATTACCCACGCAATCCAAATACCGAAAATGCTTTCATTGTAGGGATACTTTTTTATTATTAAACTATAAGCATCAGGGGTATTTCCAAATAACGACATCCGATGAGCTTCCGCTGTTCTTTTTGTCTGTCTGTTTAAGCTGAAGAAATTAATTAACATGCGCCCTCTGTCGAAATCTTCATGGATCACGGGTAACCAATCAGTGGTAAAAAATGCGTAAAACATATATTTCTTCCAAGTTTATTTAGCTGTCCTTGCAGACGGTAGACCAGTAACGCTCAGTTGCGTTAGCGAGCAAATCGACTAACTGCAGCTAGTAAGCAGAAGCCAGAGATTAGTGCCCCTTCAAACCCAACTCACTCACTCATCTACAACTGGAGCACAGGGCAATTATTTCTCAGATATAGTTTGCTGCAATATTTGGAATATTGCTTGTTGACTGTATTATGATATGTTATATTTGGTCAGTGTATATAATAAATATATACACCTCTCTTATTCTTCTTCATCTTATGGTCTGCTATGTTTCTGAAAGGGGTTAGGTTGTTACCCCTCTCATCACTGGTGCACACTGATAACACTGTAGATGAAGCGGACGCCCCGGATGCCAGAGTACTGACTGAATATACACACGCCCATTATACGCTACATCGTATACATATACGTTTGAGTTGTCACGTACTAACTTACATCTATATGTCCCTGTACAATATATACCTTTATCATATAATGGGTAGGTTTCTCGGCAGGATAAAGCTAACGGTTAAAAAACGATATCCGTTGGGGTCATATGCGGATAGAGATGCAAATATCAAAGGTCAAGTAGGGACTACTTTCACTGTTTATAAACAAACATGGCGTCGCCCTCGTCATTCGGCGATCAAGTCAGAATTAACCATCGGGAATCTAGATAAACTACAGGGATGATTGCTATAATTATCAAAAGAACAGTCTAATATCCTGAAAATCAGTGTCTAACTGTGACGTAGCTAAGGCATTTTATAAGTTTTGGCAACTTTGGAGTTAAAATTTCGAAACAATTTTGCGAGGGCATGAGGTCTAGCCAAGCGGGATCAGTAGCCATATCTGTGCTTGTAGACCTCTGCAGCTTGAAACCTTCTCCACAAATTAAAATAGTTGGATTTGGCCGAAATATGTTTGAATTGTTACCTTGTTTCGTTTTGTCGCTGTGTGTACATCTGACTACACTTATTAACGTTATGACAGGACAGACCGACTGTCAACAACGTCTGATCGTGGCCGTGACGTCTTATATACTAGGGTTAGAGTAGCTTCCCTTTGACAAAGGGCAGTTACTCTAGCGGACAGACCGATGGATTGCCGCGAGAGGCAATTAAAAAGCAATTTTTGTTTTGCTTCGCCACTGTATAAGAAACAGATTTCAGTTGGAACTATATTGGCTACTGTCACTGTCCGACTGACACATCACTTACCCTGTGACGTAATAAATATTAATGCGCCCATTCCAGGAAAACTCGCAATGTTTCGGTAATGTTTGTGACAGAGGGAAAGCGATTTTGAATCACAGAATTAAAGAATGACATTATATGATAAAGAGGTTATCACGCTTGTGTGTTTGGGGATGGTAAATATCCTGCATTAGGAATAAACACTATGTATTTAGCTCGCCAAGGTTCGCTAAATACAATGTTTATTCCTAATGCAGGATATTTACCATCCCCAAACACACAAGCGTGATAACCTCTCTCTCTCTATATATATACCATTGAACAATATATACATATATGTCCCTGAACAATATATTCCTTTATGATCTAAAAAATATCGTTTGGGTGAGATCAAGCGGTATATGAGTGAGTATTGTTTTATGCCACTTTTGGCAATATTCCAGCAATATCACGGCGGATCGCTGCAATGAAATTGCATCACAACGCTTTGCAGAACATTGTGACGTCAGTGACTCCTCATATCAACTCGTATATTCATTATCAGAAGTTACACGGATGAGACTCTCTCTTGATTACCTACGAGGGCAAACATCGGGGTTCATACAAATCAGTAAATCAGTGTATTGTTTCTGTCATCTGAAGGGCATTGTTGACGTCATTCGAATTTTATTGTGAAGTAAGGTCGGAATGACGTCGCACTAGAAACGACGTCATAGCTGTAGATTGTTGACGTCATTCGACAAATTGTTGTTCCGCTGCTATTGCGACTTGTCCTTATGGGTAACACTAAAATTCTTCTCTGTATGTAGACATCTTCCGTAATAAATTGAACATCATATTAGTGTTCATGTCATACTATGTTTACGACACTCGTGCCTATATTCCGGTATTTAGACACTCGTGTCGTAAACACAGTATGACATGAACACTCACATAATATCCTCATTGTATGTCCCTGAACGATATATACCTATATGTCACTGAACACTATATACTTATTTATTCCTGTATAAAACATACATTCATACACATCCCGTGTTATTTTTTGTTGCAGGAAGAATACGACCGCTTGCGTATCCTCGCTTACCCAGACACCAACGTCTTCATCGTGTGCTTCTCCGTCGTCAACCCCGCATCTTATGAGAACGTGGAGGAGAAATGGATACCGGAAGTGCGTCACTACCGGCCCCGAACGCCGGTCCTCCTCGTAGGAACGAAAAAGGACTTACGAGAGGGCTACAGCGACGACATTCAGCAGCTACAGCGTGATGGACAAAATCCAATCACATTCCAGCGTGGCCAGAGGTTAGCCAGTCGAATGAATGCTGTCGGTTATGTGGAGTGCTCAGCTCTCACGCAGGATGGACTGAAGGATGTTTTCGAGGCGGCCATTAACGCGGCCAAGAAGTACAATACGTCTGGTTCAGGATCTGGCAAAAAGCCGTGGTGTGTCATGTTGTAACTGCGCATCCGGGTGTGTCATGTTGTAACTTCGCATCCGGGTGTGTCATGTTGTAACTTCGCATCCGGGTGTGTCATGTTGTAACTGCGCATCCGGGTGTGTCATGTTGTAACTGCGCATCCGGGTGTGTCATGTTGTAACTGCGCATCCGGGTGTGTCATGTTAAAACTGCGCATCCGGATGTGTCATGTTAAAACTGCGCATCCGGGTGTATCATGTTAAAACTGCGCATCCGAGTGCGTCTTGTTATAACTGCGCGGCCGGGATTGCCATGCTATAACTGCGCGGCCGGGTTGATTCCAGATTGCGGCTACAAACTATATCAATCGTGATACATAATATCTGTCGTAAGGACAACATCCATGCACATGATAAGGTGACACTGTATGGTCCAACAGCGGCGACCTGTCAGAACACATCAGTAAACCACTGCCACGAGTGACCCAGTGTATGAACAGCGCATTATAACCGTGGACTGGGCAGTGCTGTACCCCGTCGAAGCTACAGGAAGTCGGCATGTGCGCGCCCACCCAGTCAGGGCGGTCACGTGTCTTGTATTTGCTTGCATCAAGGGCATCAAGAGCTTTGAGTTGTTTTACAATGTATTTATTATTTCAGGTAGTTGTTATATAACTTCATATGCCTATCAAATGACATTGCAGGTTAACCCTAGTTAACTTCGTACCAAAAGGGCACACAATGTCACCTGTTGGCTTCGGTGGTACCACATAACACATATTGTAGGTTAACCTTTGCGCTGGACTTTTGATACGTTGGGATATTACTGTGTAACCTATAATATAAAGAGGTAATTAATTATGTTCGTACAATCGATGCTCGTGTGTTGCAGGACCAAACAATCATGCATTGACTTCATCCAAAACACGGACTTACGTGAGACCAAAGACTTAGAGAGATGTATACGCGTCTTTGGTGAGATTAACATGATAGCTATTGGCAGGGAGGCATTATAGCATAAAACAGCGACCAAGGATGTGCAAGAACCATTTTACCAGGTGCGGACTGGGCTCAGCACTTGAGGCGTTAATTAAACCACAGCAACGCTACATTTTGGTGGTTTGAATAGCTTACTCCACAGACAAACCTATTTGAGCCACAGTGACAAACGATAGCATTAACCCACCGTACTCTTAAAGGTTTAACCAAACCAAACACCGGCGGTGTAGGAACTGTTGAGATTACCTCTATTTGCCGACATCGGCTGTTTAATCAGTGAAAGGGTTAACCTAACATGCCTTCATCGGTTGTGTAGCAACTGATAGGGTTAACCAAGCATGGCGATATTTGCTCAGCTGACCTCGGTCATCACGTGATCATGCCCACAGATGTGGTGCCACTCAGATTATTATCATTTATGCAAATGTATACATTTAATACATCCATGCAGCGTGTTTGCTTGTGTTATTTCTGTATGTCAATATTGTCTCGCTATTTCGATGTCTCTATATTTACAACAGCTGTTGATGTGGTTATGTGACGAGCGACGAATAACATTTCATGATGGTTTGTAACAAACCGTAAATAGGATTTATGACCGCTTTGTGATTTTATTTTGTATGTTACGTACGTTTATGTGATGTACACACAAACCAAAGAATTTATGATCCGTTATAACTGAATTCTTTCTTGCAACACTCGGCAATATTCCAGTAACGGGCGGGACACCAGGCATGGGAGTGACACAGTGTGTCAAGGTGGAGAGTCGAACTCGGGCCTGGCTCCACAAAGCGATCGTATCACTGCAACTGTCGTCGCAAGTCCATGTCCAAGTATGGGAGTTACGATCGTTTTAACGCTACGCTCGCTTTGTGGAACGGGGCGCGACGAATGTTTCAACCACAAGGTGACCCTTTATCCCGGAGTCTTAATCTACACTGGTGCTCTTGGTGGACACGATGGTCTACTCGGACAACCTTCCCTCGCAATATTTTACCAGCTTCGGCAACTGAGCCCACTGTCCGCGTGAACACCACCAGATGGTGGCCTGAGCGCCTTGGCTTGGTCTTGTTGTTTATCGATGCACTCTGCGATGTTAAGCAACATTCCAGCTGTATGACGGCTGTCTGGATATAGTCAGTCTGGACCAGCCAGTTCGAGGATTGACATAATGATCATCTCCCCAAGCGTTTACGATACGATGACACACAATCCACAAAGTCCCCAACCACCTGATGCATTGATGTGCTTCTCTAGTAACCACCTCAGGTTGCTGGGGGCCGACTCTTAACCCGGAACACCCACGGGTGAGCCACGGCAGTATCATGTCATGTCATTCAGGTCAGTAATAAATGAACGTATGCCGACATGTTTGGGGAATATATTCTTTACACCTTTGACCTACACTTTGTCCAAATTTTACTTATGAAACTCAGTGTTTTCAATTTATGTTACAGTAATCGTGTTTTTATGCAAGAATTCGTCTTGAATTGGAGTGTTATCAAACAGGGAAAATGTGTTCATTACTGAAGCCACGTGATTTTATGACCAACAGTCGGTGTTACTTGGAGCCACGTCCCTCATGGCGGCACATCCGTGTTTCGTAGTTAGTCTTCATACATTTACATTGTTTTATTGCTTTAAGTGTGATCGTTGTTGTTTATCTTATGTGGAATTATGTACACGGGAAGTCGAGATAACATGGGATGACGTCACGTGATCATGGAATAAATCATCAATTGTTTGCTAATTGCGTATGTTTCTGTTATAGTAAGTCGTCATATAGGGCGCTTGCAATCGTTCCGAACCATTTGAAAATGTTTGTCGTTTAATGCTGCACTCCTATATGACGGCAACTAGTAAATAATTGATTCTGTATGGACCAGACAACCCAGTGATTGACATCGCGTGCATACATCTACGCAATTGGGATACGATGACACGCATAGACCGCTCGAACAGTCAACTCTCACATAGACCGCTCGAACAGTCGACTCTCACATAGACCGCTCGAACAGTCGACTCTCACCACAGACTCTGCTGCTGCAGGTCAATTCTAACCCGTGTAATTCACGTGGTCATTTGAAAAAGAAAGACGCGCATAGCGACTTGTAAGCTGGCGCGAAGCCGGTGCCGTTTCTCAAAGCGAAAGTAGTGCTACGACCTGAAATGTAGCGTAATGTACAATATAGCTTCTGTTACTGCTCACGTCAGACTTCCCGAATAACAGTCAGCCTATTATACACGTAGAAGTCAGCCTATTATACACGTAGAGGTCGGCCTAAACTTTCAGTGTTGCTGCCACGTCACTATTCTAGATCCCAGGTGAAAGAAACATCATTTCCAAGTTTCATGGTTTCCAAGGAGGCATGAACATTAGCCAATTGGAACTCTCAAAGCACATTTAATTGGACATTCATACAAAATTTCAGCTCAAGAGGAATTAGTTACAGTGGAGATGTCACATAAGTTACAAAAGTCAAAAGTGAGACTCCACCTGCCCTTCAGTTAATGAATATGTCCGCGGGCCCTTCAGTTAATGAATATGTCCGCCGGCCCTTCAGTTAATGAATATGTCCGCCGGCCCTTCAGTTAATGAATATGTCCGCCGGCCCTTCAGTTAATGAATATGTCCGCCGGCCCTTCAGTTAAGCAATATGACCTATGTGTTGGGGCTCAGAACACAAAGCAACCCGAAAGATTTAGTCAAATACTTTATTTCGAAGCTTAATTCATTCATATATGAGCGAAACAGCTTGAAAATATATATACGCAATATCATATATTATGAATAAGTTGGACATAGAATGAAGTAATAATATTATGGCACAGAGGGTGGCAACCATCAGTAATACAACTTTGTTGCTTGCAGTAGCCAGGTCTGCAGAGTAAAAAGTACATAAAGTTGTTGATTCAATATCAGGTCAAACTTACAGAATCTTAACTAATGGCTACTAAGGGTCACATTTGGTAATGCCAGTTTCATTTAAACTATTATTTTGACGATTGTTTAACCATCACTATTGTTCATCCAGTCAAAACAAACTAATACAAAGTCAATATGTGAAATAAGTTTGATTAAATATATTTGATTAAACCTTCACAAGCATCAGTTTTTAAGGGTCACAATTTGGTAATGCCGACTTCATACTATTATTTTGAGGATTGTTTAACCATCACTATTATTCATCCAGTCAAAACAAACAAAAACAAAGTCAATATGTAACATAATTTTGATTAAATATATTTCATTAAAAATTCACACAAAAAATATATCACTCTTCTGGGTCACAACCATACACAACTCAGGTACACAATGTAAACAATGTATGTAAACAATGTACACAATCACTGTACACAATGCCACAATGTACATACAATGTCACACAATGCCACAATCACTACACAATGCCATAATGTACATACAATGTCACACAATGTACACGATCACTGTACATCATCATGGTACATAGTCACTGTACATGTCACTCACCATGTATTCAATATGTTACACAATCTACATATATACAAATATATATATATATATATATCTCTGACAACAACTGGTCGTACACAGAACAGACAACAGAGTACAGCGTTGCCAAGCACCAGACACTGTATTATGTCACCATCAATGCTGGTCATGATTTTCTCATAAAACAGTTGCCATGGGAATATGTCAGCAAAAACAAACAATACTTTGTCTGCCATGGAAAAAAAATCTAAGGTATTGCACAGGATGCCTTGTCACAGTTGCATCATTCTGACAGAGTTACCTCCCCTGGCAATAAAACATCAGGCACTTCAAGTTCAAGTCTCATTTGAAGAAACTCCAAGCTCCATCCCATGTGCTCCCCCCCCCCCCCCCCCCCCCAACACACGCACACATACACACACGCACACACACACACACACACGCACACATACACACACACACACACACACTGGTGACAATCTTACTCATTGCCTGATACATCATCCACCAACTGCATGAAGCCTGTCTGGGCACTTTTGTTAAATCCATGAGCATCAGAATGGTGCTGAAAAACCAAGAAACATTCTGTGAATCTTGGATTCAAACCCATTCCTGGTTTCTGACACCTGAAAGTCACAAGGAAGGAGAGAGGTCAGAGGTCAGGGGTTGTGGACTGCTGTATAGTCCCACTTGGAGCCGGTTAGTGTTCACAGAGTTACCTCCCTTCCAATGAAGCTTCACTGAGATCTGTCAATACTTTTTTCTGGAGAGATCATTTGTGTTAAAAAAGTTGATAAACTCTTTGGATGTCTTGTCACTGGAAAATTTTTGACTGGTTTCCATGGTAACCCATGTTGGCATAGTTGAGGAAAATTAAAGATAACTGTAGCACCATAAATTCCTGGCAAGATTTTCAGCCTCAGGCGTAGTAGAGCTTGTTACACCTTGTCCTGCATCACTGAAACACACAGTAAACACATGGTGAACACAGTAAACACTTGGTGAACACAGTAAACACTTGGTGAACACACAGTAAACACACAGTGACACACAAACAGCACTGCAATGGATGTCTAAGCCTCAAGTGATATAGGTGCAGAAGCAGTTCAATGAAATTCATACATGATAAATGATGAACACTTTGTTCCTTGTATTGGTTCTGAATCTAAGTTGTCTTTTGAGATTAAACTAAACCATCTTCCCGAGGCAAGGGTGTTAACTGACTGTCAAAGTCCAGTGTCCACCCTTGCCGAACTAGGCTGGAATTTCTGGGATCGATCGCAGCGCTGACCAGTGGCTATTACGAGTTATGCTCCTATTGACCAATCAGATTCCACCTCTAATATCACTTGCATTTGCTTCAACTAAAATGGCATCGCCCACGGAAGATGATCTGATCGATAAACAAGATCTATATCGTAATATAACACGTCTTACTTGGCAAAGTTCATCAAATCATGTGAGCACCTTGATTAAAAACATGAGAAGATTTTGAAAATATCTATTGTCGCAAAGCAGTCGAGACAAACATGTTTTGCAAATCGACCAAAATCTGCACAGCAGTTTACGAAGTTGGTTGTCGATTTCGTTACCCGATTTTGATTGGACTATGCACTCCATAATTGCAGCCTTGTTCGGGAAGGGTGGAAACTGGACTTTTATAGTCAGTTAACTTCCTTGCCTCTGGAGATGATACTCAACATGATACCATGTAATTATTCCGTGTGATAAATCAATGCGCCCGAGGTATTTGTAAACTATCCAAGCTGAACCTGTCTTATTGATTCCCCAACTTGAGACATGTTTCAGAGGAGGAAGTCTTCTGTAGCAAGACGTACGTACATGCAGGTTTTTTCAGATTGCGTGGCCAGGCAATGTTGGCTTCCACTCTCTTGTAGGCAAAGACAGCTTCCTGTGTCGAGGCGAGGTATTCTCCCTTTATCATCTGCGGGCAGAGGTTGTCTGCCAGGTGGCGCTCTGCAACACAAGATGGGCATGTGAAGCAGGTGTGTTTATTACAAAAATACATAAATCAAATGACCAGGGGAGAGCTGTGCTGACATACTTGGATTCCAATTAGATTCCAGATACAGGGTCCACAGAAACATGAACCCTTGACCTTTGTACCTATCCCGGAAGGTCAGCAAGGGAAACAACACAGTCTCCCACCTTCATTGTTCTGCTTATTTAGCTTATTTTCTCACCAAGCTGGTAGAGGTGGGGTGAGGTGAGGTGAGGTGAGGTGAGGTGAGGTGAGGTGAAGTGAATAGGGTTTAGTGTTACGTCCAAGATTATTGCCCTTAAAAAGCAACGTGTGCGTGCGTGCGTGCGTGCGTGCGTGCGTGCGTGCGTGCGTCTGCTTGTACTTGTCCGGACTGATGCCAATTTTATAGTGCTAGCCCACTGAGACACAGTGTACTGACTCCGAGTCGACCAGTCCTTGTTTTAGCTCCTTAATGCCGAGAGCCTGACAGGGTAACAACAAGTACCATCTTTTAACGTATTTTGGTATGACACAGTCGGGGACCAAACCCAGACCGTCCGCTCTCCAGGCAGACGCTCTACCACTAGACCACGGAGGTGTGGAACCTGGACAACAGTACATGATGCTAGGCTCTCGAAAGCTGCACCTACCGTCTCCATCCACCAGCAGGTACAGGCCGTAGTCCTGAGGATTGGTGACCTTGAACTTGTGTGCGATCAGAGCACCTGCACAACACAAATGAAGAAAAATCAGAAGTCGTAAAGAAATCTCATAACATAAAATAGAAACTGTTGGATCATTAAAGCAACACTATTTGGCATATAAGATTCTTATATCATATATTATATGCCATAATATATAATTATATATGATAATATGACACACACAAACACACACACACACACAACAGTGTAATCGCTATTCCCCCGCCATGGGGCACATCAGAAGGTAAACAACATGGATAAAGGGCCGTAGCTCAGTAAACAACTAATTTCGGGGACCAGTTTTTGAACTTATTCTTGACAAGTATCTCTTAGATAAGCATGGAAACTTTCGAGTAATTTTCTTGTTTCTGTAAAAACTTGTCCACACTGCACACAGTAAGCACACTGTTGAAGCGCATGGAGCAAGGGCCAAAACTCCCTTACAAAAGAGTCATCAGAAGATGACAAATCCCCCCTAGCCCCTACAAATTTCGAAAGAACAAATCATCTGATTGTTACATTAAGTCCAACTTCATGAGAGAATCTCTAATCTAATCTGTCTGTCTCTCTGTCCTCATACAAGAGTAGTTATTGAACTATCAAAACTATACCATGGAACTGGGATTCTGAACTGTGTACATGTCTATGTCGTGTACACACAACTATGAAGAGAGTCAAACTTGTTGCCATGAACACAGAAAAAATATAAATTCTAAAAATCCCTAAATAACAAAAGGTACCAGTTGACAACATGGTGTTTGCACAGTTTCAAGAAAGAGTACCTATTAGTTTTTTAGAGAGAGAGAGAGAGGAAGAGAGAGAGAGAGAGAGAGAATAAATGAGGGGACCAATTTTCGAACTTAGTCTTGACAAGTATCTCTTAGATAAGCTTGCAAACTATTGTCATTTAATTTCAGTAGTTGCTGTGAAATCTTTTTCACACAGTATGCACCAAAGTTGTAAAGCATTTACTCTGTAAAAAATGAATTTTCGAACTCATTTGAGATCGTGACCAGTAACATCAGTGCATAAAATTTTATTTCTCTAACTTGGACAGTTTTTGAGAAAATTTGTCCACATTGAGAACTGGATGGAAGGACGGAAGAACTCTATTCCCATAGCCCACGCCCCACTTTGTGGCCGGGGATACATTTAACATCAGTTCTCTTCACCATTAACTTATAGAGCAATCAAGGGGAGACAACCCTAGGTGAGGCAGACACTCACAGACATCCTTGGTGCTCATACTAGGCCTGATGGGAAGTGTCTTCCACACGATGCTGTCCCGCAACTCGTCGGGAATCGCAATCTTGAGGAAACCCTGCATGTCGCTGATGCTCGGAAGACGACCCTGGGAAACAAAGAAGGACAAAATTAATAAAGAAAAACTAAAGCATTATTAACTGTTTCTGCAGTATTCATGACTGTTCAAATTAAAATATTTATTACAATATTGTATTCCTATCTAAAAAAATCCTTCACACTGCTTTTTTTTAGGATGAGTGGAGAAAGAGCATAATCTGCCCCATTATGAAAGGAGGTGATCAGGACAAGCCCGGTCATTACACTACAGGGCAACATCTCTCACGGAAACTATGGAAGGTGTTGACTTCCAGTCTAGACAGACGCCTCCATTCCTGGTGTGTGACAGTCACAAGTGAAACACAAGCAGGTTTTAGACCAGGATACTCCACCACTGACCAAATATTTACTCTTCGAGCAACTGTACAAAAATACATTTCAAAGGCCAAGTGTAGATTTTACTGCATCTTTATTGACTTTTCGAAGGCTTTTGACAGCTTGAACCACAACATTCTTTTAAAAAGCTTAAACCGAGTGGGAATATAGGGGGCTTTCTAGGATTACTGGCATCAATGTACTGAAAGGTTGGCCCTTCTGATGATTTCACCTGTATGTTGGCACCCGTCAGGGATGTGTTCTGAGACCCAAACTTTTTCTCTTTCTAAATAAACTCAGTGATGTTGGAAAAAACTGGTGGTCAATGCAAATTTCTTAGTAGTGAGATACCACATCTGTTTGCGTTATTATACTCAGATGACGTATCGTCTGTTGCGGACAGTGTTTACAGCTACAGAAGAAAATCTTCTTGAAAATGTATGTGTTTCCACTGGAATGAAAGTAAATCTAAACAAAAATAAAATTATTGTGTTTTGACGAAGTGGAACACTTAAAATGTTCGAAAAATGGACGTTGTGAATGTTTATAAATATTTAAGTAGATCTCCAGTAGTCTTACAGCTGAAGCAAACAACTCAATCAGATTCATTAACTACTGTCAAAAGAAACATTGATACCTATCATTAAGATGCCCTTAAAGTATTTGACAGTGTTGTCGTTTTGAGCTATGTTACGGAGCTAAAGTTTGAAAATGTCCAAATATCATTCTCTAAGAATATACCTACTAGTAGAGTACTTTAGTGTGGCAGACTCCCTCTGTCTGACTGACTGACTGACTGACTGACTGACTGACTGACTGACTGTCTGACTGACTGACTGACTGACTGACTGACTGACTGACTGTCTGTCTGTCTGTCTGTCTGTCTGACTGACTGACTGACTGACTGACTGACTGTCTGTCTGTCTGTCTGTCTCACTGACTGACTGACTGACTGACTGACTGTCTGTCTGTCTGTCTGTCTGTCTGTCTGTCTGTCTGTCTGTCTGTCTGACTGACTGACTGACTGACTGACTGACTGACTGTCTGTCTGACAAGAGCAGTAAGGTACTGGTGCAGCCTACTTCATCCTGACCTGCACGGATCACCTTGTCAAGCCTACTTCATCCTGGCCTGCACGGATCACCTTGTCAAGCCTACTTCATGCTAACATCACTTGATGAGGTGGGAAGAGGGACATGGGCTACAGCAATTAACCATTTTGTTCAGCTTGGGCTGGTCTGGTTACAAAATGAAATCAGCAATGTCACATTCTTAAATAGCTGACCAGGTGCGATGTCAAGCAATCAGCCAATAGCTGACCTGGTACGATACCAAGCAATTAACCAAGAGCTGACCTGATGCGATGCCAACCAATCAACCATTAGCTCACCAAGTGATGTGCTGCGTGGGTCTCCTGTGTGTCCTGGAAGTTCTTGAGGACGAGGACGGCGCTGCTGAGAGTGGTCAGGTAGTATCCCCCCTCCCCTGTCAGCAGGGAGGGGTGCAGCAAACCCCACATGAACTCCGCCTCAATCTCCGCGGACACCAACCCACAGTGCACCATGACGTAAATCAACATTGGCAGGAAGTCTGAAAGATAGGATGGAAAGTTATAATTGGACTATCACATGTCAAGCTTTAAAACAGATGTGAATCTAACACCCATTAAATGGTTTACAAAACTCCACAAATTTCTTGAGATTTCCTTTTTTTGTGAGTACATACCGTCGGCACCCATCGACTGTTGCGTCACGGATGGCTGCTTCTGCCGTACCTGGAACAAGGTGAAGGTAAAGGTCAGGGACAGGGTCACAGCGTGTAGTACTCGGACTAAACTGACGGATCAAACTGCATCAATGTTCCATCACCCGAGGGTGAATGTGAGAGTGGGAGTTGGGTTTAATGCTGCCTTGAGCAATATGAGTTAAGTGATGCAGGTATATGGTGGATGTGGCAAACACCAGTATACTCACACACCGGTATACTCACACATTGGTATACTCACACACTGATATACTCACACACCGGTATACCAACACACTGGTATACTCACACACCGATATACCAACACACTGGTATACTCACACTCACACACCAGTATACTCACACATCGGTATACTCACACACCGGTATACTAACACACAGGTATACTAACACACTGGTATTCTAACACACTGGTATACTAACACACAGGTATACTAACACACAGGTAAACTAACACACCAGTATACTCACACACTTGTATACTCACACACTGGTATACTAACACACTGGTATACTAACGCACTGGTATACTAACACACGAGTATTCCTAACACACCGGTATACTCACACACTGGTATACTAACACACTGGTATACTCACACACTGGTATATGGTGGATGTGGCAAATAGCAGGTTCTCCAGCTTCTTCAGAGGAGAGTACGCCTTCTGCATCTTGTCCAGGTGATGCTTGATCAGCTCCATGTCAGCCGGCTTCGGGGGCTTGATACAAGCCTGAGGGGACACGGGATACATCAATACAACAGAATTCATTTTGCATCTATGCAAGTGAACAGAGGAAATATTGTATTTTTACAAACTGAACATGTTACATGCTGGGTCAAACTCAGGTCAGTAAATGTCGCAACAACATAAAGGTCCCGTACCTTGATGCCGATCTCCTCCGGTGTCTTAGAACGGGCGTACATGATATTCCTTGTCATCAACTTGAGGCTTCCGGACCTGACAACAGAAAGTAGGGATCATGAAACACACGTCATCCGCCGACCACTTGTCCCACACAGGCAGGTGGGGACTAGTATAAAAGTATCTAGGATAAAACACGACACCGAGGTTTTGGTAGAAAATGTAAAACTGCAAGGGATGGAAAAGCCGAACTAGGCTGGGCCCCGTTCCACAAAGCGATCTTAGCACTAAGGTGATCGTAAGTCCCATACTCTAACATAGGTTTTGGAATTTCCCGGCTCGATCGTAGTGCCACCAGTGGCTATTACAAGTTATATCCCTTCTGTGTCCCTCCAATAGACTCCATCTCTCGTATCACTTGCAATTGCTTCAAACAAAATGGCGGTGCCCAGTCAAGACGATCTGATCGATAATCAAGTTCTGTATTGTAGTAAAACGGACCTAAACACACGAAGTGCATCAAATCATGTGAGCACCTTGATTAAAATCATGAAAAGATTTGCAAAACATCTGTCGATGCCCAGTTGTCAGTAACACATGCTTTGCAAATACTTCAGTCGACCAAAATCTGCACATTAAAATCCAAGTTGTTTAGGAACCGGATGTCTAGATCGTTATGCGATTTTGATTGGACTGTGCATAAACTTGTTAGTCCAGCCAAAATGTAACTCCATAATTCCAGGTTAGTTTGGCAAGGGTGGAAACTGGACTTTTATAGTCAGTAAACTCCCTTGCCTTGGTAAGATGGTACACCATGTGTTTACCTGTTGTGTTCCTGGACGAACAGCTTATAGATGTGATGTTTGACTGGCCGGAGGACACATACGTGGAGGGCACCCTCAATGATCGCATCGATGTTCAGGAACTCGTTTGCCCCAAGCTGGAGACAACAAAGTATTTATGAGTTTCAAGTTCAATCCTTGGAGAATAGAGACTATGAAGGAGTTGAGTAAGAGAGCAAGTTTTCTTAACGTAGCCGACACTGCAGTATCCCACCAAGTCTGGGCCAGGCAAACCCTCAGTGTGTACAACTCACCCTGGTTCTCTCCCTCTCGATGAGCCCCTCCAGCTCCCCCTCCCCATGCTTCACCAGGTAGTTCTTGATCCCCGTCATGAACTGCCGCACCTGCAACACAACTCTCCCCATCAACATCCATGTTTCTGACAGGATAACATGCATGCAAGTCCTCATATTTTCACATTCATCTTAACTAAAAGTACAAAAGATTGTGACAAGAAATAGGAGAGCTCGAATGTGTGACGGCAGAATTAAGTGTGCATTCATACCTCCATTGTTCAAGAGTGAGTGAGGTGGGTAAATCTGCACACTGTTTCAGTCCTATCACGACACAGTAATTCTCTGACCGGTGTGATATGGGGTTTTAACTCACATTGCGCATGACGTGGTGTGGGTGATACAGTAATTCTCTGACCGGTGTGATATGGGGTATTAACTCACATTGCGCATGACGTGGTGTGGGTGATACAGTAATTCTCTGACCGGTGTGATATGGGGTTTTAACTCACATTGCGCATGACGTGGTGTGGGTGACACAGTAATTCTCTGACCAGTGTGATATGGGGTTTTAACTCACATTGCGCATGACGTGGTGTGGGTGATACAGTAATTCTCTGACCGGTGTGATATGGGGTTATAACTCACATTGCGCATGACGTGGTGTGGGTGATACAGTAATTCTCTGACCGGTGTGATATGGGGTTTTAACTCACATTGCGCATGACGTGTAGTGGGTGACACAGTAATTCTCTGACCAGTGTGATATGGGGTTTTAACTCACATTGCGCATGACGTGGTGTGGGTGATACAGTAATTCTCTGACCGGTGTGATATGGGGTTATAACTCACATTGCGCATGACGTGGTGTGGGTGACACAGTAATTCTCTGACTGGTGTGATATGGGGTTTTAACTCACATTGCGCATGACGTGGTGTGGGTGACACAGTAATTCTCTGACCGGTGTGATATGGGGTTTTAACTCACATTGCGCATGACGTGTAGTGGGTGACACAGTAATTCTCTGACCAGTGTGATATGGGGTTTTAACTCACATTGCGCATGACGTGGTGTGGGTGATACAGTAATTCTCTGACCGGTGTGATATGGGGTTTTAACTCACATTGCGCATGACGTGTAGTGGGTGACACAGTAATTCTCTGACCAGTGTGATATGGGGTTTTAACTCACATTGCGCATGACGTGGTGTGGGTGATACAGTAATTCTCTGACCGGTGTGATATGGGGTTTTAACTCACATTGCGCATGACGTGTAGTGGGTGACACAGTAATTCTCTGACCAGTGTGATATGGGGTTTTAACTCACATTGCGCATGACGTGGTGTGGGTGATACAGTAATTCTCTGACCGGTGTGATATGGGGTTTTAACTCACATTGCGCATGACGTGTAGTGGGTGACACAGTAATTCTCTGACCAGTGTGATATGGGGTTTTAACTCACATTGCGCATGACGTGGTGTGGGTGATACAGTAATTCTCTGACCAGTGTGATATGGGGTTTTAACTCACATTGCGCATGACGTGTAGTGGGTGACACAGTAATTCTCTGACCAGTGTGATATGGGGTTTTAACTCACATTGCGCATGACGTGTAGTGGGTGACACAGTAATTCTCTGACCAGTGTGATATGGGGTTTTAACTCACATTGCGCATGACGTGGTGTGGGTGATACAGTAATTCTCTGACCGGTGTGATATGGGGTTTAACTCACATTGCACATGACGTGTAGTGGGTGACACAGTAATTCTCTGACCGGTGTGATATGGGGTTTTAACTCACATTGCGCATGACGTGGTGTGGGTTGCGTTCCTGACTTTCAAGCGTACACTGGATGAAGTTCTCGATGGTGCTGCCAAACGTTGTGTTGTGATCGATGGAGAGCCGGAAGATGTATTCACGGATCTTGCCGCCAGGGTTGTTGCTGTTAGAGTGGGATGAAGACCAAGCTGCAGCAGAACAGGTTACCATGGTTACAGAGAAAGACAAAACATATTTATATCGTCGGATAATAGTTTTCGGACAGCCATGATTATTGCGATTATTTGCGCTATGTGTGTGGGTGTTGCGTCACACAGACATTGTAAACGCCCATATGATGGCTTGGTTTGGAGTGAAAGTTGTCTTTTATAAGTGATCGAGATGGTTTACAGTTGTTCTTGTGATGAGCAAGGAAACTACGAATGTTCCTTAAGTGTCTGAAAACCCATTACATGGAGATATCTAAAAATCCTCCACATAAATGCCTGATGTGTATACCAGGTTTCTTGAAGAAATATTGAACGGGTCAAGAGTTACAGGAGAACTGATCGATGAACGAAAAGAATGGACCCCATTTCTATATCCCCTACAAAAGTTTTCTATTTTCTCTTGTTTTCTCGCATCATGGGTGTGAACATTAAGATTTCAGAAGAAGAAAGGGAAGTAACTTTGTTCACCATGCTCCTTAGCGTTCAGGGGGAGATTCACCTCACTCTGCAGGAGTACAACACCTAACCCTACAGTGTGGATATATAGGAAGAAAGTTTATGGACGGCAACTACTTTAGGACGAGGAACACAATGTTTCAGAGCTGCATATTTAGCCCAGACAATTACAGTCAAGTCCCGCTAATCCGACATCGTTGGTTGCATATGATTATATGTATGTCGGATAAACGAAATTAAGTAGCATCAATGTTCGTGATCGAAAATCAGACAACTACACGACAGGTAACGACACAAACACGTAATAAAAAATGAAATATTCATATGTTATATTATATTGTTAGCGGAATATGTTTTCTAATCATGCAACCTCTAAAGCTTAGCACAAAACAACTGTTATGGAGTGTATGACTTATTCAAAATACTTTTAAAAGGATTGTCTGGAATGGAAGACACCGGTTTGAAACTGGTACAAAAAGGTTAAGACAGCTGCTTTCTTAGTGGCTAATGTTGACTTCCTGTTAGTCATTTCATTGGTCGGTCATAGTTCGCAAAAGGCTGTTCTGATGTGATCTGTAAAGGGATGTCCTTGGTGATAGCGAGAACTTGTATCTGATTTTAATGAGATTGAGGTAATCTAAGCATGTGATTAATCCTGTTTCCTTTATTTAAAGCATGAATTGTTTATTGTTAAAAAAGTTTATCTCTGCAGCCGTTGTATTATGCAGCTACCAGCCGACTCGTCTCGCATCAAAACATGGGCTGTATATTGCCGGGCAGATGACCATGGAGTACGCTGATCACCGTGTCGGATTAACAAGACTGATTAATGAGTGATTTCGGTAATTCGTTGCAAATGAGGTTTGTCGGAGTGCGAGACTGTCGGATTAACGGGTCTAAATAGCACTGATTTAGTGGGTTCCCATCATTAGTGTCGGATAAAGCCGATTGTCAGATTAATGAGTGTTAGATTAACAAGACGTGACTGTAAATCAAAGCTGGCTTCCATTTGTCCATTGATGTTACCTGTTGCTATTACCTATCAGTGATAACTACTCCCTGCCTCCCTTCTGCCTGCTGCTCAGTATCAGTGATAATTACTCCCTGCCTCCCTTCTGCCTGCTGCTCAGTATCAGTGGTAATTACTCCCTGCCTCCCTTCTGCCTGCAGCTCATTATCAGTGATAACTACTCCCTGCCTCCCTTCTGCCTGCAGCTCAGTATCAGTGATAATTACTCCCTGCCTCCCTTCTGCCTGCAGCTCATTAATAAAACTAGAAAATCATTGCTAATCACCTATCAGCACTAATTAACTGTTAACTGTTAGTTTCCCTTGTTACACTTCCACCTTTTGTAACCTTGAACTTTTGTTGTCCTTACATGTACATATATATGCTCTGTGCTTTATAGCATTCATTCACCTGATGAAGGAGTAAGCATACACTCAGAAACACTGAGTTCCTCAAAATAAAGAAGTTGACAATAAACTCTCTGTGTATGTGTATCACTTATAAATGCCATTCAAAGATTATTATTACAAAGAAGGTCATCAATATCTCTGTCCCTTTAACTATGTTTGGAATAAATCAATCTGGACCGAACAATGCAGTGACTGATATCCTGAGCCTCAATTGATGTCTGGGTACACAAAATAAGCAAAAAATTGGCAGAACAAACTTGATGTCAAAGAACACGAGTTCTACACTTCTACACAAACTTCCACAAACAAACGAGAAACAGCTTGTGAGCTATGCACCCTCCTTTCAACTAAGTTATAATTTTTTTTATAAAAATAATTCCTGAACTGCTTGATGCAAGGTGACTGGCAGATGGAGCAAGATAATCACCACCAGTTTTCCCTTCATTCTAAATAACTGTGTAAAGAACGTACTGCAACAGGGACGGCACACACTGCAGCTGATGGGGTCGTTGTTGGCACGGGTACTACAGACATGTACCCAAGGTACGTTTCAGTAAACACAAATGTACCTGAGCCAAAATCAGAATACAGAACAGTATGTGGTATTCAAAACGGCGGACAAGTCCATATTCCTGAATCAGTTCCGGTCTGCTTGATAACAAGTACATGCTGGGTGGTGCTGTGCATCGCAGAATCTAAGAGTACTGGACGTACGTCACTGTGTATGTTTGTGTTGTATATTGCATGCAGGAATGCATCTCATACAACAGTAGGACAGTTGAGGGAAATCTTCCTGTGTCAAGGGACCAGTTAAGTGCACTGCGCAATGCAGAATGGACATATGCTTGTGTACCGTTCTGTATTCTGATTTTGGCCAAGGAATATTTCTGTATACAGAACCACACCTGGGGAACATGTCTGCAGTCACTGTGCCGACGCCAACGCCGACGCCGACCCAAACAATCTCAGTGGAGTGATGATACTTACAAACAATTGGTCGTAATCTATCCCGGAGATCAGAACTAATGACTTCACTCAGATTGTCTGCAATCACTTCGTCATCATCTGAAGGATCAAGCATTATCCCCCCTTGTGTGTCGTCAAGGGCAACATTCACATGAGCACTTTGTAATGAATCTGTTGTGTAGGAAACCAGTGTCTGATGTGCTGATACACTTCCGTTAATCCGAGACCGAGCTCCGTGGAGCATCTCCATCGCACTGTCTGTGTTGGAACCCACACTTGGCACATCAGACACGTGGCCAATACTGTCTCGCAAATTCTGATTGGTGGATACTGTTACTTTATTCTTTGCACACCGAGTATTCTCTTGCCAACGCTGCACACGCTCTTCGGCATTCATCGCAGGTTGCAGAGCACCATTCCGTGAATGTAAGATGTTTTCCAGTGGGGAGTTATCCCAGGGTTTACAGAATACTGTGCCTGCTGTACTTTCTGTCACAGATGCAGGGGCGTAGGCGTGGCGGAGGTTGTCATACTCGGACACACACTTTACATTGCGGACGGTGAGGGGTCGGAGTGGGCGGACGTTGAACTCTGGGTGAGCACATGAGATCATGTCCTGTACGGTCGACGATTCAGAGAAACACGACGTACGGTTGTTTAACTCTGTGGACATCTGCTTCTTGTACACAGGGAATTTGTTAAGTGGTGGACTTTCCACTTTCCCAGAAGCAGTTTCCAAGTCTTCCAGAGAGAAGAGAACATCATTGATTCCGCTCGCACCTCGCGGTCGATGCTCGTCAGACTCGGGGGTTGAGACAGCACTTTTATTATTGTCTGGTGTACGAAACTTCAACATATCAGTTTTTAACCTGGCAAACCTCTCCTTTAAACTCCTCTGTCTCGTCACCTTGTGGGTCTCCTGACGCTCGGTCTTCATACTCTGACTGCGACCAACCGCGCGTCTGCTACTCCTTGTCTCAGCGACCTTGACCTCTTGGACTTGTTGGCGACCGAAACTGAAGACAAAACTGCTGGAATCTGATATCATGTCACTTGTAGGGACATTCCGAGGTGAAAGGATGGTCTCCAGCTGAGGCTGCTGGGAAACCTTTGGAGGGGGGTGGGCCGTGGGAATCCTTAACAGATCCGGCCCATCCTTAGGACTGTACGATGGCGCCGAGCGACGCCTGATCCGGACACTCACTGGGCGCCCACAGTCCAAGTTGACAGCATCTGCTGGTTCAGCATAAATGGGTGAATGTGCCAGCGTTGATAGCGATGATGTGGATGAAGATTTAATCCGAGACAGATTTGGCAAAGGAGGCGGTTTAGTTTTTGGTGCTGAGCTAGAATTGGGGGATTCTTTTCTGACCACACCCGGCCGTGGGTCCCCCGGTACCACCCACATCTGCTGCTGATACTTTTGGATGTGGGACTTTGCGTATGTATCAACCACATTCCGGCCACTGTGCATACTCTGACTGACCCTCACGTCACATGACACATGCGTGGACTCACGAGACTGGTGGGAAGAACTCATGGCTATTGCCTTGTGGACATTGTTCTTTGGCAGTGATCCTCCGTTGGAGGAGAGAGTTGATATCCCCGACTCATTATGAGTGGGACTGATGTCGTTGTGCACACGTGGGATGTCCTGGCCGTGCTCCTCCTGGGTCTGGGTCCACATATTGCACTTCATATTGTTCTTCACACTGTCACTCTCACACACAGAATTTTTCCAGATGTCCTCGTAATCGCTCATCTTGTCCTCCAGACTGCTGCGGAAGTAGCTGGTCTCGGGGATGTGGAGGAGGTCGAGGGACGTTGTGAAGTACAGACTCGATTTGCCCTTGTCTGAGGCTCGAGGATGAGTGTGTGACTTCAGGTCGACCTGTTCCCTGTAACCATGCAGGTGGTGGGAGACCTCACTCTCGTCTCCTGATGGCGGGGCAGGTACTTGGTCTGGAGGAGGGCAGCACCCCCCATCTGTCTCCACTGTCACCTGGCTACTGCCTTCCTCCATCATGGCTGGTACGGGTGGCGCCTCCTCTGCAATGCGGGCATGTTTCCGGTCGATCATGAACTTGGAGAAGTCGCCCAGGGATGCAGATGGTGCTGCATTCTTCACCTTCAACAAAAGCAAATAAAATCCAAATAGATAAACAAAATAAATAAAATAAAATAAAATAAATCAAATCAATTTAATTAGATCACTTCAAAATAAAAATTTGGAAAGAAAAGAAAAGGGTAGACGAGACAAAACGAGACAAGGAAAGAAAATGAAAAGAAAAGCAAGGAAAAGATAGCATCAATAAAGTCGGGGTGGCCCACCTTGGCCGGCAACTCTGGCGGGAAGCTGGACGTGGGTCGTGTGATGTTGATGGGCTCACTGCAGGACTTGTGTAAGACCGGGGTCCCAGCCAAGCTGTCGGAACTGTTGTGTCGGGAAATACGAGACTGCCAGAAATCTGGTAAAATAGTAAACATGTCAACTAAGTCTCAACGAAATCAAAGATGAGACTGGACATTTAACTGTCTTATTCTTTTCTCCTCTGATAATTTGAAATTGAAAACTTGTTTTAATCTTGAAACAAAAACCCTTATTCTTTAGCTGAGACAAGAACATGGGAAGGCAAATCAATACACAGCCTTTCCTAATCATAAAGTCAGAAGATTAATTGAAACATTACAGAAGAAATAACAAAACAGGTAATGTTGTGAAACTTGTTTAACTTTGAACTGACCTTGACCTAAGAGAGCAAGGGAAGACAACTCCTTGGGCGACCTTGCACTCATGATGACAGCAGGAAGCACAAGCAGCTCGGGGAGCTCTTCCCTGTTGACGCACAACACAGCCACCAATAAACAACACTTGAACCAACTTCAAAGTCACATAGTTCCCTTCAATATTCATGTTACAGGCTGGTTCACTTATCTTTCTGGTACAGAAAATACTTTCAAGTGTGAAACTTAAGTGGTCAAAGATCAAATAGTGTGTTGCACTCTTTTAAGTGCTGATTCAATGATACATGTAACTGAGACAATACGTATTCCATCAGACTGACGCTCGGTTCACTTCTTATAGTTGTACTGCAGGCCTTTATGTTGATTTCAACATTTCAAAGTTAGCCATTAGTGACATGAGATTGTTGTTGGTTGTTTTAATGCCGCACTCAGCAATATTCCAGCTATGACGGTGGTCTGTAAATAATCGAGTCTGGACCAGACAATCTAGTGATTAATGTCATGCAATTGGGATACGATGACATGCATCCACCAAGTCAGGGAGCCAGGCCACCCGATCCCATGAGTCGCCTCTTACGACAAGCATGGGTTGCTGATGACCTATTCTAACCCAGATCTTCACGGGTCGGTGAGGTAAGGACGTAGTTAGCCTAGCAGCGTGTACTGACTTGCAGCAGATGTAGAACTCGATGAGATGGGGAATGGAGGAGAAGTAGTGGGCGGAACCCTGCAGTCTCAGTCCGTGGCTGGTGCTTTCGATGATGTAGTGGTCGACGCTGGAGCAAGCCTCCTGTTGATGCTGCACCGACAACGCCAGCGAGTCACGCTGACTCGACCGACGCACCACAAAGGACTGAAACAGAAAATTGTCACGTGAACATAATATTTAGATCATGTGTTGTTATTTATTTCCTATCTAAGGAAATGACTGTGTTGTTGCGAGGTGTGTGTGTGTGTGTGTGTGTGTGTGTGTGTGTGTGTGTGTGTGTGTGTGTGTGTGTGTGTGTGTGTGTGTGTGTGTGTGTGTGTGTGTACGTGACCTGACGATAGCGGTTGAATTGGCCTAATCCAATAGCCAATAGCTGTTGAACCAACCTAGCCCATGACCTCATGATAGCGTCTCTCTGTCCAGCCACCCCTTGAACCAACCTAACCCGTGACCTGACAATAGCCGTTGAACCAACCTAGCCCATGGCCTCATGACAGTGTCTCTCTGTCCAGCCACCCCTTGAACCAACCTAGCCCATGGCCTCATGACAGTGTCTCTCTGTCCAGCCACCCCTTGAACCAACCTAGCCCAACTCATGACAGTGTCTCTCTGTCCAGCCACCCCTTGAACCAACCTAGCCCATGGCCTCATGACAGTGTCTCTCTGTCCAGCCACCCCTTGAACCAACCTAGCCCATGGCCTCATGACAGTGTCTCTCTGTCCAGCCACCCCTTGAACCAACCTAGCCCATGGCCTCATGACAGTGTCTCTCTGTCCAGCCACCCCTTGAACCAACCTAGCCCATGACCTCATGACAGTGTCTCTCTGTCCAGCCACCCCTTGAACCAACCTAGCCCATGACCTCATGACAGTGTCTCTCTGTCCAGCCACCCCTTGAACCAACCTAGCCCATGACCTGACAATAGCCATTGAACCAACCTAGCCCATGGCCTCATGATAGTGTCTCTCTGTCCAGCCACCCCTTGAACCAACCTAGCCCATGACCTCATGACAGTGTCTCTCTGTCCAGCCACCCCTTGAACCAACCTAACCCGTGACCTGACAATAGCCATTGAACCAACCTAGCCCATGGCCTCATGATAGTGTCTCTCTGTCCAGCCACCCCTTGAACCAACCTAGCCCATGACCTCATGACAGTGTCTCTCTGTCCAGCCACCCCTTGAACCAACCTAACCCGTGACCTGACAATAGCCGTTGAACCAACCTAGCCCATGGCCTCATGATAGTGTCTCTCTGTCCAGCCACCCCTTGAACCAACCTAGCCCATGACCTCATGACAGTGTCTCTCTGTCCAGCCACCCCTTGAACCAACCTAGCCCATGACCTCATGACAGTGTCTCTCTGTCCAGCCACCCCTTGAACCAACCTAGCCCATGACCTGACAATAGCCATTGAACCAACCTAGCCCATGGCCTCATGATAGTGTCTCTCTGTCCAGCCACCCCTTGAACCAACCTAGCCCATGACCTCATGACAGTGTCTCTCTGTCCAGCCACCCCTTGAACCAACCTAACCCGTGACCTGACAATAGCCGTTGAACCAACCTAGCCCATGGCCTCATGACAGTGTCTCTCTGTCCAGCCACCCCTTGAACCAACCTAGCCCATGGCCTCATGACAGTGTCTCTCTGTCCAGCCACCCCTTGAACCAACAACTTACCCCGGTCACTCTGTCCTTGAGGAGGTGGACGGCGCCTGATCGCCCAATGTCTGGGAGCAGCCATATTGCATGCGTCTTGGAGAGTCTCTCAAACAGGCTGATTGGCCGCTGATCGAGATCTGCGACATTGTCGGACAAGGGCGAGTTGGATGCACTCCTCATCCCATGCTTCTGGAAATAAAAGAAAGTTGACAAAATATACACAGTAAACTATGCTTATAACAAACACACTTATACCAAAATGACGGCTATAACAAAGTGTTTAATGGTCCCTACCATTTGCTGTATATATATATATGCTGTATCAAAACTTATAACCAACTGCGGTTATAAGGAACTGAAAGTGGTGGTCCCTCTGAGTTTGTTACAACTGTGGTGTGCTGTTTTCCCGTGTGCTCTAAATGCTTGATGATGGACCAGGATGATGGACACGTGTCTCGACTTGAAGCTCGACTGATTCCTGATTCCACTGATGATGTGTCACCTGTGCATGGAACCAAGTGACTCTAAGACTGAACATGACTGGGATACTTGCTACTTGCAGAACAGACTCAATGTATTGTCACTCCAGCTGTATCTGCAGCAATAATCTTTACTCCCGACACTGACCTTAACCACTTGTTCCACGTGGTACAGGGGCATCTCCGGAGACAGGCTGCCGGGCGTGGTGATGTCATGGCCGCTGTCTGCCGTCGACGTCTGTTCGCTCTGAAGACTCAGCTTGCTGCCACTGCAGACACAATCAAACACTTCCAGAATCTTACCGACACACGACATGGTGACAGTTCAGGTTACCATGGTTACAGACAAACAGCCTGCTGCCGCTGAGCCCGGGCACCATGGCGTCTGCAGGATCTGTCTCAACACAGCTCATTAAAATTTCATACAACTTGGAACAATTCAGACTGCTCTCAAATATCAACCAGAATTACCATACAGAGTTCAGTACCTGACATCACAGTGGTGAAACCTACAGGAGAATTAGCTCTCATAATCTCATCTGCACAGACACATACAGAGGTGGGACAAAAACACCTGAAGTGGACACAATCAACCTTCACTTCTGTATGCCAATTGTAGAATTAAACGAGTCAGGAGCAGGCCAACCAGTGGCTGATTTGTTGAGTAATGTTTCACACCTTCTGGGGAGGACTGTCACACAATCAACCACCAGACTGTGACCACCCTCCCCTGCCTCCCACAACATGCAAAGGGCCCCCTATGTCTGCAGACACCGGACTGTGACCACCCTCCCCTGCTTCCCACAACATGCAACAGGCCCCCGATGTCTGCAGACACCAGACCTGATGTGGTGTGGCCCCTGGTGTCAGCAGACACCTGACCTGATGTGGTGTGGCCCCCGATGTCTGCAGACACCAGACCTGATGTGGTGTGGCCCCCGATGTCTGCAGACACCAGACCAGATGTGGTGTGGCCCCCGATGTCTGCAAACACCAGACCAGATGTGGTGTGGCCCCCAATGTCTGCAGACACCAAGCCAGATGTGGTGTGGCCCCGATGTCTGCAGACACTAGAACAGATGTGGTGTGGCCCCCAATGTCTGCAAACACCAGACCAGATGTGGTGTGGGCCCTGATGTCTGCAGACACCAGACCAGATGTGGTGTGGCCCCCAATGTCTGCAGACACCAAGCCAGATGTGGTGTGGCCCCCGATGTCTGCAGACACTAGAACAGATGTGGTGTGGCCCCCAATGTCTGCAAACACCAGACCAGATGTGGTGTGGCCCCCGATGTCTGCAGACAACAGACCAGATGTGGTGTGGCCCCCGATGTCTGCAGACAACAGACCAGGTGTGGTGTGGCCCCCGATGTCTGCAAACACCAGACCAGATGTGGTGTGGCCCCCATGTCTGCAAACACCAGACCAGATGTGGTGTGGCCCCCGATGTCTACAAACACCAGACCTGATGTGGTGTGGCCCCCGATGTCTGCAGACACCAGACCAGATGTGGTGTGGCCCCCGATGTCTGCAGACACCAGACCAGATGTGGTGTGGCCCCCGATGTCTGCAGACACCAGACCAGATGTGGTGTGGCCCCTGGTGTCTGCAGACACCAGACCTGATGTGGTGTGGCCCCTGACTGTCATGTAGTTCATACAAACCTCGAGCAAGCACATTCCAAGACCCTTCAAGATCTCTTGAATGCAATGATGACACTTTTCAAGGCTAAACGCAAAACCTTACATTTATTTTACACACCAAGCAAGCCAGGTGCTTACCACAAACAATCTGACAGTCATTTGTTTGTTGTTTAACACAGCACTAAGCAATATTCCAGCTGTATGACAGCGGTCTGTAATTAATCGAGTCCGGACCAGAGAGACCAGTGATTAACATCAATTGTCAGAGCAATTGGGATATGATGACATGCATCAACCAAGTCAGTGGGCTTGACCACCCAACCCGTTAGTCGCCTCTCATGACAAGCATAGTCGCCTTTTACGGCAAGCATGGGTTGCTGAAGACCTATTCTAACCCAGATGTTCGCAGGTTCTGACACTGTTGGCATGGTTACCTGACACAGCTTCTTGTGTGCTCCCGAGGACAATCATAGGGGGATATGCTGGGGTCGGGATCCTCAGGGGCCATGGTGGACAGGCTGAAACATGACTTCTGATTGGCTGATGTCGACGGTAACGGGTAGAGGTGACACAGATCGGTCAGCAACAGGTCAAGGTCATTGGCAATATTACTCAGCATCTGAAATTAAAGTAAACAGTTTAATACTGCAGCTTCTTGTGTAGTATTGTCCTGAAAAATTCCAATGTTCCAAATTCTAACATCAAATTCCATGTTGATTTTTTATGATTTTATTTCTTTATGGAGAATACTAACAATAAGTATCCATGCTTGCAGTAAAAAGCGACTATGCTTGTCGTAGAAGTGACTAACAGGCGGTCAGGCTTGCTGACTCGGTTAATGCATGTCATTCTATCCCAATTGTGTGGATTGATGCTTATGCTATTATAGCCATATATCCTGTTAGTGAACGCATGAAAACCTTGCTCTGAATACAACCAGGCTCTGAATACAACCAGGCTCTGAATACAACCAGGCTATGAATACAACCAGGCTATGAAAACAACCAGGCTATGAAGACAACCAGGCTATGAATACAACCAGGCTGTGAATACAACCAGGCTGTGAATACAACCAGGCTATGAATACAACCAGGCTATGAATACAACCAGGCTCTGAATACAACCAGGCTCTGAATACAACCAGGCTATGAATACAACCAGGCTATGAAAACAACCAGGCTATGAATACAACCAGGCTATGAATACAACCAGGCTGTGAATACAACCAGGCTGTGAATACAACCAGGCTATGAATACAACCAGGCTATGAATACAACCAGGCTCTGAATACAACCAGGCTCTGAATACAACCAGGCTATGAATACAACCAGGCTATGAAAACAACCAGGCTATGAATACAACCAGGCTATGAATACAACCAGGCTGTGAATACAACCAGGCTGTGAATACAACCAGGGTATGAATACAACCAGGCTATGAATACAACCAGGCTATGAATACAACCAGGGTATGAATACAACCAGGCTGTGAATACAACCAGGCTATGAATGCAACCAGGCTATGAATACAACCAGGCTGTGAATGCAACCAGGCTATGAATACAACCAGGCTATGAATACAACCAGGCTGTGAATACAACCAGGCTGTGAATACAACCAGGGTATGAATACAACCAGGCTATGAATACAACCAGGCTATGAATACAACCAGGCTATGAATACAACCAGGCTGTGAATACAACCAGGCTATGAATGCAACCAGGCTATGAATACAAACAGGCTGTGAATGCAACCAGGCTGTGAATACAACCAGGCTGTGAATGCAACAAGGCTATGAATACAACCAGGCTGTGAATGCAACAAGGCTAGGAATACAACAAGGCTATGAATACAACCAGGGTATGAATGCAACAAGGCTATGAATACAACCAGGCTGTGAATGCAACAAGGCTATGAATACAACCAGGCTATGAATGCAACCAGGCTATGAATACAAACAGGCTGTGAATGCAACCAGGCTATGAATACAACCAGGCTGTGAATGCAACAAGGCTATGAATACAACAAGGCTAGGAATACAACCAGGCTGTGAATGCAACAAGGCTATGAATACAACCAGGGTATTGAGTGACTGGATCTTGACCACTGGACTTAAGCTGATCAATATTTGATTCATATTTCTGATTCAAAGAAGTAAGAATAAATAGCCCAGTGTGAGGAACATCAAATACCTCACTCAGCATGTATTACACACTCAGCATGTATTATACACTTAGCATGTATTATACACTCAGCGAGTATTATACACTCAGCCAGTATTATACACTCAGCACGTATTATACACTCAGCATGTATTACACACTCAGCCAGTATTATACACTCAGCCAGTATTATACACTCAGCATGTATTATACACTCAGCAAGTATTACACATTCAGCAAGTATTATACACTCAGCGAGTATTACACACTCAGCGAGTATTACACACTCAGCGAGTATTACACACTCAGCATGTATTACACACTCAGCCAGTATTACACACTCAGCCAGTATTACATACTCAGCCAGTATTACACACTCAGCCAGTATTACACAGTCTGCCAGTATTACACACTCAGCCAGTATTACACACTCAGCCAGTATTACACACTCAGCCAGTATTACACACTCAGCCAGTATTACACATTCAGCCAGTATTACACACTCAGCCAGTATTACACAATCAGCCAGTATTACACACTCAGCCAGTATTACACACTCAGCCAGTATTACACACTCAGCCAGTAATACACACTCAGCCAGTATTACACAGTCTGCCAGTATTACACACTCAGCCAGTATTACACACTCAGCCAGTATTACACATTCAGCAAGTATTACACAATCAGCCAGTATTACACACTCAGCCAGTATTACACATTCAGCCAGTATTACACTCTCAGCCAGTATTACACACTCAGCCAGTATTACACACTCAGCCAGTAATACACACTCAGCCAGTATTACACAGTCTGCCAGTATTACACACTCAGCCAGTATTACACACTCAGCCAGTATTACACTCTCAGCCAGTATTACACACTCAGCCAGTATTACACACTCAGCCAGTAATACACACTCAGCCAGTATTACACAGTCTGCCAGTATTACACACTCAGCCAGTATTACACACTCAGCCAGTATTACACATTCAGCAAGTATTACACACTCAGCCAGTATTACACACTCAGCCAGTATTACACATTCAGCCAGTATTACACTCTCAGCCAGTATTACACACTCAGCGAGTATTACACACTCAGCCAGTAATACACACTCAGCCAGTATTACACAGTCTGCCAGTATTACACACTCAGCCAGTATTATACACTCAGCAAGTATTACACATTCAGCCAGTATTACACACTCAGCCAGTATTACACTCTCAGCCAGTATTACACACTCAGCGAGTATTACACACTCAGCGAGTATTACACACTCAGCGAGTATTACACACTCAGCATGTATTACACACTCAGCCAGTATTACACACTCAGCCAGTATTACATACTCAGCCAGTATAACACACTCAGCCAGTATTACACAGTCTGCCAGTATTACACACTCAGCCAGTATTACACACTCAGCCAGTATTACACACTCAGCCAGTATTACACACTCAGCCAGTATTACACACTCAGCCAGTATTACACACTCAGCCAGTAATACACTCAGCCAGTATTACACAGTCTGCCAGTATTACACACTCAGCCAGTATTACACATTCAGCAAGTATTACACACTCAGCCAGTATTACACACTCAGCCAGTATTACACATTCAGCCAGTATTACACACTCAGCCAGTAATACACACTCAGCCAGTATTACACACTCAGCCAGTATTACATACTCAGCCAGTATAACACACTCAGCCAGTATTACACAGTCTGCCAGTATTACACACTCAGCCAGTATTACACACTCAGCCAGTATTACACACTCAGCCAGTATTACACAATCAGCCAGTATTACACACTCAGCCAGTATTACACACTCAGCCAGTATTACACACTCAGCCAGTAATACACACTCAGCCAGTATTACACAGTCTGCCAGTATTACACACTCAACCAGTATTACACACTCAGCCAGTATTACACATTCAGCAAGTATTACACACTCAGCCAGTATTACACACTCAGCCATTATTACACATTCAGCCAGTATTACACACTCAGCCAGTAATACACACTCAGCCAGTATTACACAGTCTGCCAGTATTACACACTCAGCCAATATTACACACTCAGCCAGTATTACACACTCAGCCAGTATTACATACTCAGCCAGTATTACACTCTCAGCCAGTATTACACACTCAGCCAGTATTACACACTCAGCCAGTATTACACTCTCAGCCAGTATTACACACTCAGCCAGTATTACACACTCAGCCAGTAATACACTCTCAGCCAGTATTACACACTCAGCGAGTATTACACACTCAGCGAGTATTACACACTCAGCGAGTATTACACACTCAGCATGTATTACACACTCAGCCAGTATTACACACTCAGCCAGTATTACATACTCAGCCAGTATAACACACTCAGCCAGTATTACACAGTCTGCCAGTATTACACACTCAGCCAGTATTACACACTCAGCCAGTATTACACACTCAGCCAGTATTACACACTCAGCCAGTATTACACACTCAGCCAGTAATACACTCAGCCAGTATTACACAGTCTGCCAGTATTACACACTCAGCCAGTATTACACATTCAGCAAGTATTACACACTCAGCCAGTATTACACACTCAGCCAGTATTACACATTCAGCCAGTATTACACACTCAGCCAGTAATACACACTCAGCCAGTATTACACACTCAGCCAGTATTACATACTCAGCCAGTATAACACACTCAGCCAGTATTACACAGTCTGCCAGTATTACACACTCAGCCAGTATTACACACTCAGCCAGTATTACACACTCAGCCAGTATTACACAATCAGCCAGTATTACACACTCAGCCAGTATTACACACTCAGCCAGTATTACACACTCAGCCAGTAATACACACTCAGCCAGTATTACACACTCAGCCAGTATTACACACTCAACCAGTATTACACACTCAGCCAGTATTACACATTCAGCAAGTATTACACACTCAGCCAGTATTACACACTCAGCCATTATTACACATTCAGCCAGTATTACACACTCAGCCAGTAATACACACTCAGCCAGTATTACACAGTCTGCCAGTATTACACACTCAGCCAATATTACACACTCAGCCAGTATTACACACTCAGCCAGTATTACATACTCAGCCAGTATTACACTCTCAGCCAGTATTACACACTCAGCCAGTATTACACACTCAGCCAGTATTACACTCTCAGCCAGTATTACACACTCAGCCAGTATTACACACTCAGCCAGTAATACACACTCAGCCAGTATTACACAGTCTGCCAGTATTACACACTCAGCCAGTATTACACACTCAGCCAGTATTACACATTCAGCCAGTATTACACACTCAGCCAGTATTACACTCTCAGCCAGTATTACACACTCAGCCAGTATTACACACTCAGCCAGTATTACACACTCAGCCAGTATTACACACTCAGCTGTATGCTGTATATTTCAGA